GCAAGTTCCAATCAAACATGACAACATGTTTAAGCAATAAATTTAACTCCATCGATTTTAAAACAAGTGAGGGATCTCCACAATCATAGGAAACAGTACTACTTATGTCATTCACTTTAATATCTAGAAAAATAAATTGCTATCCGATTCGATAAAAGAGAAACGAAGAAAAACAATAAATTACCAATCGATTGGCTTTGGTGCTCTTGAATCTCCTCCATTAATCACACAAGCAAATCCTGCGAGAAAGGAACAAAATAACAAACTTGTTCACTTCGTGTGGTCAGTAAATCCTTAGTTGTCGAAACTGAAATGAAAGATTAAAAAAAAAAAGAAGAAGAAGCTTACAGTAAGGTGAGTTGACTTCGCTGACATGGAAGGTTGAAAAAACAGATAGTGAAGATATTGTCTTTCCTTTTAGTTTACTTTGACGAGATCTGTAGCTGCTCTTATGCTTGTGTGGGAGCGAGAGATGAATGCGTGGAGTCTGCTTTGTAACGATCGAAGAAGATTCTAGACAGCGAGGGGGGGCGGGGGTTAGCAGAGTTAGAGAGAGAACTGATTAATTAATTATGTAGTCGTTAATTAAATTTGGTTTCGTCGGGTTATATTGGGAGATTGTGTTTGGGATTGGGATAATTCTTTCACTCGTGAAATTATGAGAAAATTTACAGTAATAAGGAAGTAATTAATAATTTTTTATTAGTTATTTTAGTATTTATTTTTTAAAAAAATAAATATAATTAAAAAAATTATAAACCAAGATATTTTCCTGAAATATCAATTAATCTGACCACCTTAAAATTTTACTGATATTATATCTTCAAATAAAAACAATTGCCCAATTGGAAATATGCGGTATCTGAAAAAAAAAAAATAGCACGTGCATAAATATATCAACTAAAATTAAAATTATTAAAATTTTATTATTATATAATAATAATAGTAATAATAATAATAATAGTTGTTTATTTATTTATTTTTATATAGAAAACTCATGTTACCATTATTATTATAACATATTTTAAAAGATATAGAAAAAATATTGTAACTTTCTCTACTCTTTTTAACTTTTTTTATTATTATTATATTATAATTAGTATTTTTTTTTTAATTTTTTGGTTTTTTTCCTTTTTTTGTTTTTTATGCCTTCATGGGTTTTTTTTCATTTTCTTTGTGTTTTTTTAATAATTTTTTTATTTAATTTAGTTTGTTAATGTTAATTTTTTTTTATTTAGTTATCAGATTTTCATGACACAATTCTAGAGTTTAACAGGTTAATATAATTTGATGAGTTAAGCTGAAATTTTTTCTTTTTAATTATTTTTTTAATTTAATTTAGTTTGTTAATGTTAATTTTTTTTTATTTAGTTATCAGACTTTCATAATATATATCTCGGATTTGACGGGTTAACCCAGTTAATTCTAGGTTAACTCGTCAAATTTTTTTCCCTGTTTAATAGTCAAGCTTTCATGACATAAATTCTAGATTTGATGGGTTAACCTGATTTGAAGCGTTTGCCCAGTTAATTCATATTTTTATCTTTTTCTTCATTATTTTTTTATTTTTTTGGTTTTTTCCTTTGTTTTTTAATTAATCTATTTAATTATCACACTTTTATGACACAGCTTTATAGTCAAACCCACATCCAACGCTCTTAGGTCCGGTGTTGTTGCCAGACGCACTTAAATTTAAGTCATGTAAGTTTAATATTATTATTAATATTATAAATATTACTCTCAGGTCAAGAGATTCAGCTTATGCCTTTAGTTTTTTTTTTTTTGTCCATACTTTCTTAATATTTAAATTTTTTCATTTTAATTATCAAACTTTCATAACACGAATCTTAAATTTGGCAGGTTAACATAATTAATTCAGATTTTTTTTCATTAGATTTTTTCTTCCTACAGGTTTTTTTCTCTTTACTTTTTCTTTTTTAATTAATATTTTTCTTAATTTAGTTCATTAATATTAATTTTTTTTTCTATTTAGTTGTCACATTTCCATGACATGAATTCTAAGTTGACAGGTTAACCTGATTTGACGAGTTAACCTAATTGATTCAGATTTTCTTTTCTTTTTCTTCAATAGTTTTATTCTTCCGATAGGTTTTTTTTCTCTTTGCTTTTTTCCTTTTCAATTAATATATTTTTAAAAAAAATTAGTTCATTAATATGAAAAAAAATTTTCTATTTAGTTATCACATCTTTATGACACGAATCTTAACTTTGACGGCTTAACCTGATTTGGCGGGTTAACCTGGTTGATTAAAAAAAAAATTCTCGTTAATTTTTTCTTTTAATTTCATCTTTTAAAAAAAAAATTCTCGTTAGTTTTTTCTTTTAATTTCATCTTTTAATATTATATGCAGTTCATAGTAAAAAAAACTGATGCCTTTAGTTTTTTTTTCGCTTTATGACTTTCACTATGGATTGTATAATGCAATCCACGATGAAAAGACTTATGCCTTCTCTTTTTTAAAAAAATTAATTTTTTTATTTAGTTTGTTGATATTAAATTTTTTTTTATTTAGTTATCAGACTTTCATGACATGGATCTTAGGTTTGACGAGTTAAGGCAATTAATTCAGATTTTCTTTTTCTTTATTTGTCTTTTTTCTTCTTATAAGTTTTTTTTATTAATATTTTTTTATTTAATTTAGTTCATTAATATTATATTTTTTTCTATTTAGTTATCGGCTGATGCCTTTAATTTTTAATTTTTTTGTCTTTTTGCCTTTTTTATGAATTTGACTGTGAATTATACTGTGCAGTCCATAATGAAAAAGTTGATACTTTTTTTTAATTAATTTTTTTATTTAATTTAGTTTGTTAATGTTCAATTTTTTTCTATTTAGTTATTAAACTTTCAAGACACGAATCCCGGATTTGACGGATTAACCTAATTTAACGGGCGAGCCTAATTAATTCCGGGCAAACCATTAATTTTTTTTCTATACAGTTATTAAATTTTCATAACAAGAATCCAAGATTTGATGAGTAAACCTGCTTTGAAGGATTAATCCAATTAATTAAGATTTTTTTTATTAGTTTTTTTTGTTAGTTTTTTTCTTTGTTTTTTTAATTAATCTATTTAATTATCATATTTTCACAACACAATCATGCAATCAAACCCATGTCTAAGGCTATTAGATCTAGTATTGGAGTCGAACCCACTTAAACTTAGATCATACAAGTTTAATATTATTATTATTATTATAAATATAACTTCTATATCAAATATTGTAGCCAAACTTAAAATTCTTAGTTATAATTTTAGATTTTAGTTTTTTTAATATTTTTTATTTAAAAAATTCAACGCATGCCATCACACCGGTTATGTAACTTGTATATTGCAAATTGTGTCATATATGTTTAACTGCAGTCACTGTATTCTCTATCTGTAGTCAAGTTCCCGGTAAGTTCTTATATCCTAACTGTATCGTTCAAGTCGCCAACAAAAACACAAGTCTCTTGTCCATTGTTAATTTAATTTTTGATACCAAACTATCTTCCTACTCGTGCTCTTATATATATATATATATATATATATATATATTGCCTTTTTGTTTATGTATTCATAACATACATGTGTATCTAACCAACGCCATCGTTTTATCCTAGAAACATATATTATTTGTGTGTTTTAAATTATCAGGGATTAAGTAGTTTTATCCACTAACTTAAATTTCCTAGTGATAAATGCTTCGTGTATGGTCATATTACATGTTAATTAATTAACAAGAGTTAATTAGAAAGGAAAAATCATTACCTCTCTCCTTATATATATTTTTTAATTTTATTATTTAACATTATACTGAGTAAAAATTAAAGTTTATATTTTATAATTTATTTTTTTATAAAATTGTCTTAATTTAAATTATAGTTTTTATGAATTAACTGGATTGACTTGATTTTTTTATTTTTTCATAGTTATTTTTTTTTTAAATTTCATTATTTACCATTTATTTTGGTATGTTTTCTATGATATTATCATAATTTTAGGACTCAAGCCAAGTGTTTGACATATTAAACCAAGTTATTCCAGGTCTTTTTTATTTTATTTTTTTAATTTCATAATTCGATGTTAAATTAATTAGGAATTAAACTTTATAATTTGTTTTAATTTATTTTTTATTAATTTATTTTGATTTTATTATCCATGTTAGGCAGATTAACTCAAGTTTACTTAGGGTTTTTTTTTTAAAATTTTATTATTGAAGTGATTGAAATTTAAGCTTTAATATGTTTTTTTAATTTATTTTTTGTGAGATTATCATATTGTCAAGCTCTAGATTTTGAAATTTATATGTTAGTATGAGTTGACTCAAGTGTATTTAATATATTATAGTCTTAATATATTTTTTAAAAGATGATATTTTTAAATCTTTTTAGTTAAATTATGTTTTTTATATTTGAATTGTTTCTAAATTTATTAAATTAATTGAGTTATATTAGATAAATCTTTACTCAATTTATTTTTTTAATTATTAAAAATATGTTAACAATATTTATATAATGTCACGTGAGTAAATCATATGGTATGTAATTAATGGGAGTTTTAAAAAAACCTAAGGATATTATTAATTTTATTTTTATATATAAATGTTAGTTTATTATCATTTATATAAGCTAGTATAAGATTCAATTTGAATAAAATTATTTTTAAAGTGTTATCAAATATTTATTTTGGGAAGTTTTTTCATACTTGTCCTGTGGAAGAAATGTACTTCTTCTTATCCGAAAAGGAAAAGGAGGAGCCGGTTTTCGTCCTTTTTATTCCCCTGCTATTTCCCAATCCCCCAGGCACTCCTCACTCCGTATCTCTCTCGGTCGAATCCGGAAATATTACTCGTTGGAACCCTAGCAACCCATTACCCTACTCGTTGTCTCAGGGCAAATCTGTCGCCCATCTTTGTTCGGAGCAAGCACTTCTCTTCCTATATATAGAAATCCAAGCAGCGAAGCCGCAATCTGATTGCAACAGGTAAGTCGATACCTAACTGGATGATCGTTTACTTTTAAGTTAACCAGTTAGGGGTTTTTGTCAACCATTACTGTTAGGGTTTCAAATTTTGTTTTGATTTGAGATTTCAGTTTTAGACCGGGTCAGCCACCGGGCCGGGTTTAAAAACTATGCTTTTTATTCCCCTGCTATTTCCCAATCCCCCAGGCACTCCTCACTCTGTATCTCTCGTCGAATCCGGAAATATTACTCGTTGGAACCCTAGCAACCCATTACCCTACTCGTTGTCTCAGGGCAAATCTGTCGCCCATCTTTGTTCGGAGCAAGCACTTCTCTTCCTATTTATAGAAATCCAAGCAGCGAAGCCGCAATCTGATTGCAACAGGTAAGTCGATACCTAACTAGATGATCGTTTACTTTTAAGTTAACCAGTTAGGGGTTTTTGTCAACCATTACTGTTAGGGTTTCAAATTTTGTTTTGATTTGAGATTTCAGTTTTCATTGCCATGCTTTTAATTTCATGATCTGGCTTTTAATTCATCAGATTATGGTTTTAGGATTCAAGGATTATACTTACTGTTATGGTTGCATCTGCTTTCTGTTAAGCTTCATTGTTCTTGTAATGCTCCGACGTTCTTTTTTTTTTATTCGCTTGAAATTTCATCGTACAAGGTTCTGTTTTGCTAATTCTGTTATAAATCAAGTTTGCGAAAGAAAAAAAGTTATTTTTTGTAGTTTGTGTTTTTATCCTTTTTGGCCAGTGGGAGTTTAAAGTAACAGTGGTTCTATATTGGTCAAGACTGTGTCTGTATTGGATTCCCTGAATGCACTGATGATTGTGGATGGTTCTTCCCCTTTGCATCTAAAGAGAAGAAGATTTGCCACTGTTGATACCATGGAAGCTGAAGCAGCTAAGGCCAAGTTTGCAGCTATTAAAGAGAAGTTTGGGCGTGATATCCGGGTGTTTGAAACATCGGGAGTCTCGTCATCACTGACTCAAGTGTCCAATGATGATGAGAGGGATGATTTTTACGAGTTCACTGCTGATGATTATTATAGACTGCAGGCTGCAAAGAAGGCAGATAAACATTTAAAGACGAAAAAGATTCGAGAAGCGGAAGTTGCTGCTCACAGGTCAAGAATAACCAAGACTACAATCAGGGTTCGTTTTCCTGATAATCATACATTGGAGGTGGTATTTCATCCATCTGAAAAGATTCAGAGCTTATTTGATCTTCTCTCTAGAATGGTTGCTCAACCGGAAGTACCTTTTTATCTGTACACTACTCCTCCAAAGAAGCAAATCAAAGACATGTCACAGGATTTTTACTCTGCTGGTCTTATTCCTGGTGCAATCGTTTATTTTTCATATGATATGCCAAATCAAGAGGATAATGAAGCTGTCAATTCTGGTCCCTTCCTTCGAGAAGAGGTTATGTCTTTGAAAGGTTTGGATGTTATGCCAGAGCCAGTAGAGCCGATCCATGCTACTCCAGAACCTGTGACAACAGCTCCTCCTCCAGTTCCACAAGAGCCCAAGGCTGCTGGGAAAAAACCTGTCAAGCCAAAGTGGCTTAAAATGTGATCCGACAAACTCTTCTAGTCAAGGTTCAGCATGCGAATATAACTCTGTCAGATAGAAGCATGCTTATAAGGTAACTTATAGGACATCCTAGGAGGAAGTCTTTCACAATGAATTTGTTCTAAAGCTGTAACAGTTCCAGAGGAACGCTCTCCTTTTCTTTTGACAACTCGTATTTTTATAGCTTATTACTTATAATTATGTGAATACCAATCCACTGTAAGAAAAAGAAAGGGAAGGAATGGCTTCTTGTTTTATCTTTAATGCTGCTCAATGATTATTATTTTAGGTAATGAAGGTATGACTCAAGATGGAGCACGGGCCTGCTTCTCAGTGTTGGAAGGCAGTTGGATGATCAATAATATTTTGTGACCATCCTCTAGACCCTTTTCTACGCTTCTAACCGTCTTCAAGTTGATCGTGTTCCGTAGTTTTTTGTGTCTTTTCTTTTTGTTTTGTTTTTGACCTCTTCATGATCGGCTCGACTGCATTTTTCTCATGTTGATGTTTACGCTGCTGGCTTTTGCACACGCTTGTGGACAGACTTTAATGTTGAGAATAGCTTTTTGTAGATGTAAGCTAGCTGCCTCCGCTAGGTTCCAGTCTATCTTTACCACACAAGTTCCATCTATTTACTGAAGAGTCCGCTTAGAGTCAAAGTCTTGTCGTTTTACTTGAAGCCAACACCGGTCCGATTACAATCAAGTCATGGATGGATGGCAGAACGGATGTAGTAAACTATGAATAAAATGTATAGTCATTTTTTAGCTTGTAGTTTGGCAAAAAATGGATCCAAAAGTCGATGGCACTGCCTTCCGGACCATTGGTGACTGGTCTGATTATCTCTCAAGTTCAAAAGCGATGCCGTTGCAGCAAGAATCTCATAGCTGCAAGATTAAGTTAAATTAATTTGGAGCTGAATTGTCTCGTGAGTCATGAAGAACGAATAGCAAAAGTCAAGGGATTTCGGACATTTGGAGAGAGGAGAGCATGAAGCAATGCTTTATTTATTCTCAAAGCAAGGCATAACAAAATCTGCAAGAAAAGTTGATCTTTTTTAGTGTCACAGAATCGTACAACAAGCATTACGAGGTGGAAGATGTTCGATTCTGTCAGAGAGACAGACATTGCGCTATACTCAAGTTCTCAACCTGTCATGTATATTTCTGACATGGCACGCTGTTATGCCATAGGCTCCGTGGCCTCTTCTTGTACAAGTTGTTCTGTTAATACGTTGGTTGATTTTATCGAAAAAAGGCGGTAACCTGTCAACCATGCTGAGTTTCATTTTGCCTGCACTTATGTTCTATTTTTTAGGATGAAATGGGAATCAATCTACCACACAAAAAGAATTCGAAAATGTGAACTTTTCTTCTATTTTTTGTGTTTATTTTGTTGTGCTGGAATCCTATTAGTCCATTTAGCCATAATAATTCTGTCAATAAATGATTTTGTATTGAGGCATAACCATAAATTTTGGATCACTGGACTTATTTTTTGATTCATGATGATAATCTGCTGATTTTATGTCCATCATGTGATTTAATTCACTCCAAAAACACCATCCCACTTAGATGGCTTAATTTCCAGAAGTTACTCCCCCCCTTTTCTCCTCATAGCAAGAGATCAATTACAGCCACTCAACTCTCACTGGTGAAAAACCAAGAGGCGAAAAAATGGTGGCACTCCAGGAAAAATAGAAAGGTTTCATTTGCAAACATCCCTCTGCAATTCTGGAGGGGGGTATAGTAGAGAAAGAGAGAGAGAGAGAAGCGAAGACATAGATAATGGATCGTGTTGGTGCCGTTAATGGCACAGATCCAGATTGCCCTGGTTTTATTTCATATGCGGTAAAAAATGTAGCAGGAAAGGTAATTTCCATCGGTCTGGCTTTTGTTTTCAGCAATCTTTTACACCAACTTCTAAAGCCTCTATCCCAACCACGCATAGTTTCTGATATTGTTGTAAGTTTCTCTTGTATCTCTCTCTCCCTTTCAATATATATGTGACAACGATTTCCAAGAAGCTCAGCCTCTCTCTCTGCTTTTTTTTTTTTTTTGAGATAATGTTACTTGTGTGTAATCTTTATTGGCTGCAGGTAGGCCTGGTTCTTGGCAACATAGGTGTGATACGCCGAGCTTTCGACGAGCAGTTTATTGCAATACTAAATTCTATTGCCGAGTTTGGTATGATGTGTTACATGTTTGTGCTGGGGATGGAAATGGACCCATATGTAATCTTTAAAGGACCAACAAGAAATGCTCTGGTAGCCTATGCTGGAATGGTGTCCACATCCGTTTTGGTCGGCAGCATAATCCCATTAATGAACTATTATAAACACCCGAGCATTGGCTTCACCCTTTCCCTCTCTATCAGCCTCTCTGGCAGTGCCTCCCATATACTAACTCGCCTTATAACTAGTCTCAAGATAGGCAAGTCAGATATAGGAAAAATTGTGATTGCAGCAGGAGTGCACTCTGACATGATATCCATGCTTCTCATCTCTATTGGATATCCTTTCCTCCAACTCACAGTCGCAGTTACCGATATTGCTGCAAGCGTTAGAATGACCTTGATTATGGCTGCTGCATTGCTGCTCCAGATACTTTTCACTGCCACAGTTTCACCTATCTTTATGAACTGGGTCAACAACGAAAACCCTGAAGGGAAACCCATGAAAGGTTCCCATTTGGTGCTTTCCGTTGCCTTCATGGCTTTTGTTTGCAGTGTCGCCCCGATTTATGGATACAGTCCCATTCTCAGTGCATTCGTGGCTGGAGTTTTCATACCAAGTAAGGGGAGAGTATCAAAATGGGCAATTGGCAAAATCAACTTCCTGTTACCTACCATTTTCTATCCAGTGTTCTTCTTTTGGATGGGGTATCATGCTAATATCAGTAAATTTGAAGCTGGCAAATGGGAAATATGGCTAAGGTTTTTTGTCCTTGCAGTCATTACAATATTTGGCAAAGTGGTCGGAACAATCATATGTGGAGCAATGTTAGGTTTTCATTGGCGTGAATCTGCTGAACTCGGTTTCCTTCTAACTGCAAAGGGCCACTTTCATGTATTTCTGGCGGTTGTTGCAAGCCTGGTATGTTCCTGCTTCTCACAATATCTGTTCTGTTACTGACTTTCTTCTTCAGTTGTTGCTTTTTCGAAAGATGACTGGCTACTAACTATGAAACTTAAGTTTGAATATGTCGGTTTCTGATTTTCAAGTAGACAATTGACAGTTAAAAAACGTCATGAAATGCTTGCATTCTTGATAAAAGCATCAATGAGGGTTTTAGGTGATGAAGAGCAACAAATGCAGTTTCTTACATGCCCCACAACATGAAGTCCATTGATTTTCCTCTTCGCAGCTTTGCTTTGAGGCAAAAGAACTGTCAATCTAAATAAAATTGGACAGCATTCAAGTTTAGCTATAGCAATAGTTGGGAAACAATGGTTTTGGTGAGGTCATGTCAGCTACAGCATTGTTGAACATATCCTAAATTCAAGCATTCGATGCAATTTAGCATTGGGAATTAAATTATATTAATTAGTACTCATTTCTAATATTGTATTTAGTTTGTTACATTGATTGCAGTTAGGTATTACAACTATTTCAACTTGCATTTCAATCATTATTGTGATCTTCCTTTCGGTAGTACACACCCCAACAGTTGTGTCAAAAATCATCAAACGTGCGAGGAAACTTGCACCAACTCAACGAATGGCTCTTCAGTGGCTCGACCCCTCAAGTGAGCTTCGAATCTTGCTGTGTCTTCATGGAGTGCATAACGTGCATTCAACCATCAACTTCATGGAGATTTCTCGAGGGGCATCTGACCCAGGAATTCTGGTTTATCTGACTGACATGGTTGAACTCACAGATCAAATAGCTTCTACACTGGTTCAAGAAGGAAGGGACACTGTGACTGTGACTGTGATTGACAAGGATGTAACCCAGATGAGAGATCAGATCACTACTGCAGTCCAAGCTTATGTGGAGGAAAATGGTGATGGTATCACTCTCGAACGAATGCTTGCTCTCTCAAAATTCAATGGCATGGCCAAAGATATCTGCAATTTAGCGGAGGACTTGATGATCTCCCTCGTCATATTGCCATTTCACAAGAACCTGTGTGCAAATGGGACGGTGGATGGGGGTAATTCTGGTTTCCGACATGTGAACCGCAAGGTAATTATCACGAATCAACATCCCTTAAAAGAAAAAAAAAATCAAAAGTAAAGAAGAATCTTTTGTTTTCGTACTAGTTATATATGACCAAGAAATTGTCTTTCATCTGCAGCTAGGAACTGACTCGTGATTTAGCATCATAAACTATGCCATCACTTTATCAATTTTCTGAATTTGTGCAACTTGTCTGTTAAAAATCATCAATCATAATGCCAACATGTTGTTTAACTATGGTTTTGGTTTCTCTTAGGTGCTCCGGAATGCCCCATGTTCAGTGGGGATTCTTGTGGACCGAGGTTATGGATTGGTAGAGGAAATATCAAGGTCGGTAAGATCTTTCCAGGTAGCAGTCATCTTCTTTGGCGGCAAAGATGACAGAGAAGCACTAGCATATGCAGGTCGTGTTGCAGGACATCCTGGGGTAAAACTCACTGTGATAAGATTCCTACTTGATAGTGATTCAGAGAACGCCTCTAGAAGAGCTGGGAATTATAGGATAAATGCTGCTGAGCAGGAAGAAGAGATGAAGCTGGACGATGAGTGTTTTGCTCAATTCTACGAGAGACACATCGCCGGGGGACATGTTTCCTATAATGAAAAGCATGTTGCCAATTCAGCCGAGACCTATGCTACTCTGAGATCATTGGAAGGACAGTATGGGCTAATAATAGTAGGGCGAGGTGGGAGGGTGAACTCGATATTGACTATAGGGATGAATGATTGGCAGCAGTGTCCGGAATTAGGCCCAGTAGGGGATGTTCTTTCAGGGTCTGATTCCTCGCACACAACCTCTGTTTTGATCATCCAACAACACAGTCTCAAGGGAGAATTAGATGGCGTAGATGATGAATTTTCCATAATGTAAATGCCTAGTGGGGTAGTTCTAAAATTTAGAAAACTAATTTTAGAATAAGGAAAATACTTGTTCTAGGATAGAGCTCCGATAGAAAGGGCAGGAATCTTGCAAATCAAAAGATAGAACGTAATCTACTAATATTCACTTGATCAGAGGAAAAAATGGAATGATTTTGCCTTGTGTTTTAAGAACTTGCTAAGGCTGATAACATATCCTCTCTTCCAATGGTGCTATGTCGTAATCTCAAGTAAAAGAGGGCATTTCCTGCCACACACTTTAACAAGAATCCGGCTCACGTATGTGTTCCGTATGCTTCTCGCATTCTTCACAATCAAATCGGATGCTTTAACTACATCATTTCCTGTTCCAGAGCTTAAAACGTTACGCTCTGAAGCCAAGACCCCTTTTCTTTTCTTTTGTTTTTGTTTTTTTCAATTTTTTTTCCTGATGTGTAACTTTAATCAAAACTTCTTCAATGGCTTTGCATTTCTTAGATAACAGATGCCATTGCTGAGACTTTACTTCCTTGGGCAGCTAGTAGAGGGTTGATTCGGTGCTGTTATGCCGATGGCCATCAGGGCAAATCTAATGATCCTGATGGGCATCAATATTGTGCTGGTGCTAAAACGTAGGCATTCTAGACTTCCCCAGTTAATAGGATTCTCCCGCCTCCTAACACTGAATTGATGGCCTTGGAGCAGGACTGTACTTGTTGATAGAGTTGACCAAAAGCTTCAGGTCCCATTGCTCCTGGCGTGGAACTCGTGCAAGGAACACGTATAAACAGGGATGGCAATTCCAAATGCTAAAATCTCCCTGCTTCAACTGTGACAAATATAGTGGGAATGACAAATAACTATGATTTCAAGATAGACTTATTTTTATTCTCTGCCACCTGTAGTATATGGTTGTTCTACGTTGCCGCCTACACCAGTAGGGCCCTGAGTGGATGCCCTAGAATTAGTTTAAAGGATCTCATCCGAACAGAAAATGAACCTAAGCAGCAGCTCACATCCAAAAAACAGAACCCATACATAGAAAAGGTGCCATTTGCATTCAAAGAAAAAATAACAGCTGGAGGGCTGGTTAAGAGTATGAAATCAGTCTGTGAATCACGCTTAAGAAAAACATCCGCTTGCCATTTCTCGAGCAAGATTAGCTACACATTTAATATTCATATCCGCCAGAAGTCATCAGTTAATTACAACCAGAATCGAAACCCATCAAAATCACACTGCTTCACCGCAAACTTCAATTGAACATACATTTCCATATGCTAAATAATCCCTTGAGATTTTTGCCATCTCAGCCTACAAATAGCAATTTACATACGTGAGGAGTCAACAAAAGTACCAACAAATACACAATGCACGAAGGTGTCAATAGAACTGTTCTTTTATTTTCTTTTTTCTCAAAATGTCTAAACTCTAGACACCTAGCAATCTTAACTTGTAAATATTTGTGCAGTCCGAAACATTCCAAAACACACAGCATCAGGTCCTTCAGGATAAGATAGTCTGTGCAATGCAATGATATGACCAAGAACTAGAATGTCAATGTTCTGGTACAAAACCACTGAAAGCGAAAAAAAAAAAAAAATACTTGTTCATCAATTTAATACCTATAAAAATCAATTATTTATTTAAATGCTGATATGCTTGAGAACGATTGGCATTGATGCTTGAAATGGATAGAATCCAACAAAGCTAAACTGCTGAACTTTTAGGAGCATATTGTTACTCCAAGTCACTTTAATGAAGAAAATTCATATTATAAAAGTTCCATATAACCAAATACGGACTGTGTAAGGAATAGGTGTAAGCGCATGTATAAATGCACGAGAGGGAGGAGCGACCAAATACGGACCCTGGCAATTATTTTTTGCTCCATTTTAGCATCTGTTTATTCATGACTAGCAATTTCCGTTGTCAAACCGTGGAGGATGCACAGTATTTCAACTCAATTGTAGTGTTAGGGAAAAAACTCAAGTCGGTTCAATCCACTCGCACGCTGAGGGAAGAGAACGTGATTGCAAGGGGTGAACAGGAACCATAATGGGGAACTTTTTCGCAGCTTGACTCTCTGTGCCAAACAGCCTCCAGTTAGAAAGGTTTGTTTGTTTTTTCTTTTCTTAGCAATCGTGCTAGGTTGTAGTGAAAAGAAAACGGGTAAATGGTCACAGTAGTGGGAATCTCAGTGGCCTACACTTAAACATTTGAAAATGTCCAACCATTAATTCTAGGGAGTTTTGGGCTAACTTCGGGTTGATTTGAGTATTGATTTACGGGTGAATTTGGGCTTGAAAATGGATTGACTTGAGAAGACTTTGGGTCTGGTTTTTTGGGTTAATTCGATTGCGAAGTCAGGTTGATTTCTTGGTAGATCTTCAGGTAGTTGGCCGCTGAAATTCGTGGCTTTGGATGGTGGTTTGTTGAGTAGTAAATCTGGTTGAATTGGCATGGCTGTAGTGTGTGGTTGTAGATGGCGGAGAGTGACTGATGGTGAGAGGGCAGTAGTGGCTGATGGCGTATGACAGTGAGTGTGGGGGGAGATGAAGGGCCGGGTGTGGTGAGGGTTTTTATCCGTGTGAATCTCTATGAGGTTATGGGGTTGGTGAGATTGTGACTATGGAGTTTGGAATGAATGCATCTAGGGTTTTGTAAGGAAAGAAGATGGGTGGAAGAAAATTAGTTTTTAATTAAATTCAAAACCCCCATTTTATACCAAAAAAAATCTAAGTAAATGAGGTCGAGTTAGTTTTATATTCAGTTTATTATGAATTTTGAAGATTAATTTAATTGGATTTTAAACTTTTGACTTGTAAAAAAGTTATAAATATATTTGGTTAAATATAACTTTGACCTAAATCAAAAGTTTCTTTTTCCTACTGTGATGAGTCAAATTCTTTATTTTATCAGAATTTTAAAAAAATAACTTTTAACCCATGTATCTACCCATACTGTATCTTCTTTTTTTAAAATAAATAAATTATTATTTTAAGATATTTATGTCAAACATATTCTTAAAGTTGTTCTAACTTATTTTCATTACAAATTATTTATATAAAAAATAAATTATAATTAAAAGTAATTTCAAATTAACTTTCCACCACCTCAATAATTTATTTTTTTGCATATTATTTATAAGTCAAAGGCTCCCTCCGAGCTGAAAAGGGGAAAAAGGAGGAGGAGGAAGAATACCATCACCAGCTCTGGTGTCCATGCCGCTACAAATGAAAGAAGGAGATGAAGAATGAAAAATCCCTACTCTCTTATTTTATTTTTTTAAAATCCATTCAACTTTAATAAGAATAATAATTGGGATTGTAATAATAATTATTTTTAAAATTTTTTATTTAAATAGTAAAATAAATATAACAAAAAAAATGGTCAAACTTAAAAATATTTTAAAAGACCGACTGTTAAAACAATTTTATTTAAAAAATTTATTTAAATAGTAAAATAAATACAACAAAAAAAATGGTCAAACTTGAAAATATTTTAAAAGACCGACTGTTAAAACAAAATTGAGGTAATATATTTTAACTCAAATATTCTATAGTTTACGTATTAAAATCAAATAAATTTCACACGAGTTTGAAGAATCTAAGCGAATGCAAGCATGAATTATTGAAATTAAAAGTTTGGTAGTATAATTGTAATTATTTTTTAAATAATTTTTATTTTAAAATATATGTTAATAATTTTTTTTATTTTTTAAAAATTATTTTTAACATCGATACATTAAAATAATTTGAAAATATTAAAAATATATTAATTTAAAATAAATAAAAAAATAAAAAAATAAATTTTTTAAAAATACTTTTAAAATATAAAAACAAATATACTGTATAACAATCTAGAAGTTACATATAATAACCAACAAAATTTAATTTGTTAACCGCTAGATCCTTTGTGAACTTTATGTTTGATTTTTATGTTATTTCACTTTTTTTTTAATTTTATTTTATCTAAATTGAATTTATACTTTCTGTTATACAGTATTTAACTATTCTAAATTAAGACAAAATATATACACACACAAACCCACTTTTAAGTTTCTAGTTGGTTTATTTTTATATTTAAAAAATGTTTTTAATAGAAATTAATTTTTTATTTTTTATTTAAAATTATTTTTTATATTTTTAAATTGTTTTGAAACATTAATGTTAAAAATAAAAAAATATTATTTTATTATATTTTTAAATAAAAAATCATTTGAAAAACAATTCTTACTACAGTGCACGCGAAGTAATCTCAATCAAAACATCTCACAATTAATGCACTAAGAAAAAAAAGGGTGTAAATTAAAATAACTGTAAGATTGGAGACTTATGTGCATCTTAGCCTGCAAAGGGGGCTACGCATACAAAGAACAAGGCACAGGTGCGCAGCCAGATCCGTCGACAAAACCCTCTTTACTTTCCCATCCCCCCCAAAAAAAAAAAAAAACCCTAAATTCGAATTTTCACTTTCAATAATAACCACAAGGATAAACCCCCGTCTCAAAATTCCAATTAATTAATTTATATATATATATAAAAAAATAAAGAGAACAACCTCTAAATCCTCTCTCTCTCTAAAAAATTTTCAAAATCCCTCACTATGGCCTTTCACGTAGCTTGCCCAATTACATGGTTAGTATTATTACTATCTTCACTACTATTAACACTATAACCCCCTTCTGTCTCTCTTATTTCTCCTCTTTTCTGTCTCTCTCGCGAGAGAGTTCTTATTTTTTTGTCAAGGACTGATACGATATCGTGTTTGTTTTGTCTCTCTCTCACTTGCAGTCGCCGAATTTGTTTTTGCCCGCTAGGGTTTACGCGAGATCTCCACTCTAGGAAATCTAAGGCTGACTACCTGTTCGATTTAGCGAGTATCGATGAGTTTTTGAAGGATCCTTTTGGAATTAGAGCTTCCAGGGAAGGGACTGTCCAGGTCTCCGTTCCCAAGGTTGTGCCCGTGCCAGTGCCGGTTCAGATTCACCCGCCCCAGTCGCTTGCGGTCATTCCGGGGAGAGATAGAGGAGGTGATGGTGGTGTGGGCGTCTTGGTGGAGGAGGCTGTGTCAGCGCAGACTAAGCGCGTGGCTATTCAAAGGCAGGCTGCTGCTGCTAAGGCATCTGCTGAGTATTATGCTAAGAAGGTCGAGTCTGGTGATACCGCGGTGAGATTTTTTTTATGCGTTTGTGTAATTAATTTGTATTTTTTCGCAACCGGTGTAATTGAATTTTAATATTTTTTTTCCTTTTGTTGTGAATGGATTTTGTGTATAATGTGAATGTGTGGATTTTTTGGTTAGCAAGGCTTTCG